GCCAGAATGTCCGTGTTTATAAAGAGTTCAGGGGGTGATTTGGGAAGAGAGGCTAGAAAGAGATGAAGAGAAAAGCAATGTTTCCTCTGTGCCCCCAGATGGTAGGAGGAGGTTATCATCAGACCTGGTCCTCCCGCTCCATCCACACTCGCACAGCGTCACCTTCCTGCCGGTCTTCACCCTCTTCCCGTCTCTCTCAGGCACACAGACACACACACACACACAGACAGACCCGCACACACACATAGGGACAAAAAAGCAAGAACGAGAGGTCAAAGGTACACAGGAATACATACAAAGAGGCCAAACAAAACCTGTCTGGTGGGAGATACCAGGCGAGGGGACTGACTTTAGGAATGGTGAGAATATTCTACACCTACATCTGGGTATTGATTTCCCAGGTGTGTACAAATGTTAATATGTTTCGAGCCGTACACTTCAAATGTGTGCATATGAATGTATACCTTATATCTGTTATAATGGGGGGGGGGGTGTGAAAAAGCAACAGGTTAAAACCAAAAACAAAAAAAACCCTCGCCTGTAGGATCAGGTGGAAGAAAAAAGAAATGAAAAGAGCCACAGAAGAGGGAGCGAAGGAAGAGACTTAGAAAGGTATAAGAAAAAGAAAATAAAAGCTTGGTGAAAAACGTAAGGCAGCGAACACCTGTGCCTGCTGCCTCTCTAACCTGCTCCACACAAGGAAAAAGGCAGTGATCACGGGCACTGAGCAAGGGCTGGCGGTGGACTGGTCAGTCCAGGCCATCGTGAGCCTCGTCAGCAATCAATACTCACTACTCATCTGTGGGGACAGCCTCTGCCCAGGTGCAGGCTGGCCAGGTGCTTGGGCACAGAGGGCCCTGCCAGGAGGCCCCCAGCCAGGCCTGCTGCTCTCGTTCCCACCCAGGGGCCTGGCTCTGCAGCTCCCACAGTGCTACTCTGGGAGTCACTGCTTTGTTTGCTGGCCGTGGAGGAGGGGCCTCCTGCCAAGTCCAGTGGAGCTTGAACCCAAAGGTTCCACCCACCCCCTCCTGGAGTAGCACTCCTCCCTGTTCCCCGGGTTCTGGTTGGCAGACACGCACTGGCCTCGGCCCAGCTCCCCAGGCCTTGGCCCCCTGCCACAGTCCCCTCGTAGCCCTGAGCCCTCCTCTTACACCAACCTGCAGCTGCAGCTCCCCACCCAGCCCCGACTGGGCATGCTGCTGGTGTCTCCTCCCCAGGGGCTGGGCAGCAGCTCAGCTGAAGCATCGGTACATTTTGATAAGGAAGCGACACCAGCTGGCACGCCCTGTGTGTGCTTTTAAACCAGCCAATGACTTCTAGATCATCGTGGCTGGCAGCTTCCTTGGGGCAGTGCCCTGTGTAGCAGAGGGCATTCCCAGGCCACCACAAATAGGGCGTCATATCTCACAGGCAGCTGTTCCCCAGGTCTGGCAATAAGTGTTCCCCAAGCCGTGTTATTCCCCTCCTCTGGCCCCTTGCGTTTCCTGTGCTGCTAAGTGGTGGAATCCAGTGCTCACGCAGGCTGGTTCTCCCGTCAGAAGGAGAATCCGTTACTTTGTGGACTGGAGCAAGCCACACACTGTCTGACCCACAGCTTCCTTGTCTGGAGACGAGAACCCCATGGGCTGTCAGGAGAGCCGACATGAATGTGCACAAAGGGACTGGCATCTGGCGGATGCTCCGTGGACAGAGCCATCCTTAGGACATCACCAGTTCCCCTCACCTGTCCGCGTTCCCTCCGCCTAAATACCTTAGATGCCCAATCCTGAGGACCCCTCTGGACTTTCTCTCGGGTTCAGCTGCCTCTCTCCAACCTAGTGCTGAGGCTGCAACTCTCACTGGAGAAGGAACCAGCCCGCCCAGCTCAGGCCCAGGGTGCGTCTGCTGTGGGCCTGTTGGGGCCTGAGCTGGCCACTCCCTGGGAGGGGATCACCTGCCCCATGGGGATGTGGCGCAACCAGCAGGGCTCAACCTGTCCTCGCCCTGACAGGGCAGAACACGAAGTTTCCCCTGTCACTCCCCTGCCCCAACACAAGTTCAGGAGGGGCTGTCTGCTGTGGCCTCAGACCTGCTCACCTGGGGGCCTCGAGAGCCTGCTAACGGGCCCAGCTGATGCTTGGCACCTGCCACCCTGAAGGGGCGTGATCGCTGCTTAGTGACTCTCTTTCCCCTGAACCCACTGCAGCCACTCACAGGTGGGAGGTAGATGCCCTAGGCCAGGTGAGGGTGGGGAAGAAGTGGAAGAGTCCAGAAGGGAGTTTGGGCTTCCAGGGTGGCTTATCAGACCTGAGGTCCCTCCATTCCAAAGAGCCCAAGAAATCAGACTTCTATGTCATGTTCTCCCCATTTTCCTACAAGTTCTTCCTCCTTAAACCCCTCTCTGAGCCCCAGGCCCCCGCCATTGCCCCCTGAAAGAAAAGAAGGCCCGGCCAGAGCCCTTCCTCCACCCCGGGTACTAACCTTCCCTTCCAGAGTCCCCAGGTTCCCCCCTCAGCTCCTCACCCCCAAGGAGGAATGGCTCTCTGACCCCTTTAGCTTCCCAGTCACCTCGGGTCACCTGGGGCTGCCATTGTCCCAGACAGGGAGCCTTGTGCTTGGTTCCAGCGCCACCCACAGAGAGGGGCTGAGTCAGAGTGATGGGGGATGGACAGGTAGGTTCCATGAATCTCCCGTGGCTCCCAAGACTACACTCTCACCCTGCTTTGCCACTCTGCATGGCAGTGTGCCCACCTGCCACTACTGTAAAGCAACGGCATTGGGAGACAGCCCTGGCAGAAGCTGGGGTGAGGGTGGCCCAACGGCCCCGGCTGAGACAGGGATCCTGCACACCCGCCAGCTGGGCCCAGGACTCCTCATGGCTCCTGGAGGCACCATCTCTGCGCTGAGTGAGCATTGGCCAGGGGGCCACCATGAGGCGCTGAGCAGGTCCAGCTTGGCCCTAGTAGAGGAGGGGGCTCGGAGGCGCCTGAACTTAGGGCCCGAGCCACCTAGCTGCATAGCTTATCTCCAGCTTTTCCACCTAGTGGTTTCCACAGGGACCCCATAAACTCCCCGAAAGGGAGCATACCCACCTCACCCATCCCAGGCCCTTCCTCCATGCCTGCTCAGTTCCTTCATCACAATCTGTGAGCAGCTCAGCAGAGCAGCAGCCCCGGAACCCCAAGAGTGGGCTTCAGGGAGCTGTGAACTGAACCCCAAGAATGAATGATATGCTGGTTGGTGAGAGGGATCAGAGCTTTCATCTGATTTCAAAAAGATAATCACCACCACCACCACCCCCCCTCAAAAAAAAGACTGGTGAAAAACTATTTCTTTGAGGTGTGCTCATCTGCAGACAGGACATTTTCAAAATTAGCCTTTATCGGGGAAAAAGAAATTATGCCTCCATTTGCAGTTTTATAACCTTGACATGAATTGTTTGGCAAACTACTGCAGCTCCAGCAAAGCTGACATTTATGGAGCACTTACTCTAGGTGAGGCGGAGTGTTTTACAGCCAATCATTGATTTAATTCTCAGGACAGAATGAGGCAGGAATGATTATATTCCCACTTCACAGATGGGAAACTGGAGCACAGAGGTTCAAGGACTTGCTAAGCTGCCTTGGCTGGGTAGCTCGGTTGGTTAGAGCATCGTCCTGATAAGCCAAGGTTGTGGGTTTGATCCCTGATCAGAGCACTTACAAGAATCAACCAATGAATGCATAAATAAGTGGAACAAATTGATGTTTCTTTCTCTCTCTCTTTCTCTGTATCCCCTCCCTCCCTCTCTCTTTTTAAAACCAATAAGTTAAAAAAAAAAGGACTTGCTAAGTTCGCATAAGTCAAAGCTGGAACCAGGACCCACGTAGATACTCTACCTACCTATAGCTGGAATTTCAACATTTTGTCTCCAGTTACAACTATACTCCTCTTGGTAATGTAAGCTGCCTTCCCTTTCCTCCCTCCCTTCTTCCCTTCCTTCCTTCCTTTCTTCTTTCATTCACTCAACAAGTATTTCTTGTGTGTTCGCTGCCTTCTAAGCATTGCTGAAATTAAAGGAGCCGCACAGGGCTGCTGCCTTCACAGAGCTTATACTTCATCAGATTCCCAGAGAATACCCATCCTTGAAACATCTCCTGGGACACACTCACTCATTCTTGTCTCCAGCACAGGTAGGGGCCAGGGCCAACCTGGCAGAGCTCCAGCTGGGTTCCAGGCCTCCCAGGCTAGAGTCGTGCTGATTTCAACTGATTTCCGGAGTTGCAACTCTGGCTCCCTTTGCACTCCGCTCAAATTTCCACTAAGGCACTTATTATGCTGTAGTGAAATACTCATGGACGCATCACAGCCTTCTCTTCCCATATCCTCTCCAAGCTCCCTGAGTGCACCACCCAGCCAGCCTAGTTCGGGTTTTTAATCTCCAGCCCCCAGTGCAGAGCTTGCAAAGAGCAGGCGCCCAGTAAATGTTCGCTGAATGAGCACATGAGTTTTCTGCTCTAGCTGACCCTCTCAGACCAGGGACAAATGATTCATTCAAGTGTTCCTTCCCTGGATCCCTTTACCCACCTCCCTCTTTGCCTTGTCAAAGGAAAAGGCACCTCATTGATGTGGGAAGCCCCACTTCCCTGCTTTAGGGCAGCTGAAGGGTTTCCTGTTCGTACAGTCTCAGCAGATTTTTGGCTTCAGAAGAGAAGGTATTTTAGAGAGCTGGGGAATGCTTAGCTCCTGGGGACTTATTTAGGGCAATCCTCTAAATGCTACATGAAAGCAAAGCCCCAAGGCACAGGAGCTACACACCAGGGAGAGAGGTTTCTCTGAGCTTCTCCTGGAGACTCCAGCCTCCTCTCTCATCTTTATTTCACCTGTTGCCAATGTCCCCATCTTTAGATCACCTGTCACCCAAAGCTTTAGCCTCAGGTTACAAGGTGACATAGCGTGGATTTCCCTGAGTTTCAGTAAGAATTATCATCAGAGGAACCAGCCACGGCCTGGAAGTCGGGAGACTGGGTTCAAATCCTGACCTTCTCAATTCACTGTGGCATCTTGGGAAGTCATTTAACCTCTGGGTCCAGTTTCTCCTATGAAGATGAGGGGTAGGACCAGAGGGATGTCTAAATCTCTTCCAGTTCTAAAGCATCTGTGGGGGGAAAAATGTTTTTTTAATTGTGTGCCTTCCTGTCCTTATGGCCTCGGAGCCTTACAAGAATCCCGTGATTTGTAAGTCAAAGGACAGACTCACATTACAGGTGAGAACATGTGAACAGAGGTTGATGACCTTCCCCAGGTGACCCCGGGTTCCTAAGTCCTTTGCCAGACCACTATGGCTCCAGGGAGGCCGCTAGAGCCCCCTCATTTCCAGGATCCGAACTTTCTTTCCCTCCTAAGCCCTAAATCCACCTGTCACTCAAAGAGAAGCAGCCAAGACATGAAGCCTAACTCAGAGGTCGTACCCAAGACGATTCCAAGGAGGGGCCCAGAACTTCCCCAAATTCCACACCATTTCCCACCAGAGCCAGGATTCCTGCCTCTGGGCTTCAGGTGTGGGAGCAGGGGTGGTGTAGGACATGCCAAAGGGATTTAGGCACAGGCTCCGGTGGCCATGAGAACCTGGGCCCCGGCTCCTGCGCTGCCCTGGCAACAGGCTTTAATAGCAGCGGGTGCAGGTGCCCATCAGAGCGTGCAGGTGGCGCCCTCTTGGAGACCACTGGGAGGGAAGTGGGGGCGGCGGCAGTCCCAGCGGCCTAGCCCTGTCCTGCTCCTTCCCTCCCGGGGCCGCGGGTCCCACCCACCTTGTCCCTTGCGCCTACCTCGGAATGTCCTGCCCACACTCGACCACCGCCCACGGCAGGGCCACCTCTGCAGCGCGCCCCCTCTTCCCGCAGTGTCCCTAGGCTCCTCCAGGCCAGCCTGACGCCCTCCCTGGGGACCTGGAGTGTCCCCGAGAACACCCTCGGTCTGGCGCAGCGTCCCCGGAAATGCGGGGCTGCTGCCAAGCTCCGCCCCGCCTCACCCGTGTTTACGGGAATTGTCGGGGAGGCGCCCTAGAGGCCCCCCCAACTCCCACACGCCCCGGGGCGTTGACGGCCACTCTGGACTCGCTGCGATCCGCCCATCCCCCAGTCGGGACCGGCCCCCACGACAGCTCTGCGGGCGCAGTAGGCCTCGGGGTGTGTGGGGCTGCCCCTTCCCTGACTGCGGGGACAGGGCCCCTGGCTGGCATCAGCCGGGCCGGGGAGGAAGCCTAGAACTACGACCACCTGCCAGGCGGTTCCCTGGGGCGACTCCCTTAACCTCGCGGAGCCTGCAGCTCTGGTCTGCACAGCGGGCAGGGGCGCTGGGCCGCGCAGGCTGCGCCCTGTCATCCTGCGGGCGCACACCGGGCGCGCCGTGCGCTCTGCCTGGTGGCGAGCTGTCTACGGAGGAGGCCGTGAGAGCCGCGCACAGAGCCGCCCTGCACGAAACCGCCCACGGCCCTGCCCCGGGCAGCGCCGCTGGCTGCGCCCCTCAGCCTGCGAGGGGCCACGGGGTGACGCTGAAACCAGACGCGGAGATCTGCGGGAGCAGGGAGATCTGGTTATAAACATCGAGCACTCATCAAGTGACCTTGGCTCGTCCCTCCCCAGCGCTGGTGTCCTGGCTCTGTTATCTTCCAGGAAAACCACGTTGCTTTCAGGGTGGCTCCTGAAACGACGAGTTCTGGGCGTGTGTGTGGCTGAGCTGGCCCAAGCTGGCTGGTGGCGGGGCCGGAGAAACCAGAGGCCGAGGGCTAGCATCCCCCGGGGCCAGGCTAGGCTGTGGTACTGGGGTGCCGCTCCTCTGCGCCTCCAGCACAGAGCTGGGCGAGGGGCTGCCACACTCCCTAGATGGTGCTCCCCCATAAAAAGAAAGCGGTGATTTTGTTGTCTCATATTTACTACAAAAAGGTTGGAAATCAGAACACCAATAAAAAAAAAAATTACCCATTACCCATAACTTCACCATACCTGGAGACCACCAGTCATAATACTGTCTAAAACTTTCTTTCGAGATAAAATTTACATGTAAAGTGCCCAAGTCTTAAGTGTTAATATTTTTGTGACTTTCCTCCTGTCTCTTTTCTATGCAGTTATACATTTATATTTTTTAGAAGAGGAATTATTTTGGACATAATTGTAACCTCTTCCTAGGACAGCAATATATTAGACATTTTTCCATAACATTAAAAATTCTGCCCTGGCCCTGGCCAATTTGGCTCAGCGGTTAGAGCATCGGCCGGCGGTCCAGAGAGACCCAGGTTCAGTTCCCACTAAGGACACGTACCTCGGTTGCAGTTTGTCCTCGGCCCTGGTTGGTCGTGTGGGTGGCAGCCACTCGATGTGTCCCTTTCATGTCGATGTTTCTCTCTCTCTCTCTCCCTCCCACTCTATCTGAACAAAAAATAGAAAAATGTCCTCGGGTGAGGATAAAAAAAAAAAAAAATTCTGCCCTGGCCGGTTTGGCTCAGCGGTTAAAGCATTGGCCCATGGACCAGAGAGACCTGGGTTCGGGTTCCATTCCCGCTAAGGGTACGAACCTCGGTTGCAGTTTGTCCCAGGCCCTGGTTGGGGTCGTGTGGGTGGGATCGATGTGTTGATGTTTCTCTCTCTCTCTTCCCCCCTCTCTCCCTCCCGCTCTATCAGGTGAGGATTAAAAAAAAAAAATTCTCACATATCTTCATTTTTAATGTATTCTAGCATATGTATGTATCATATGTTATTTATTTGGTATATGCCCCTAGTGGGAACCGAACCTGGGAGTCTCTGGTCTGCAGGCCAGTGCTCCAACCACTGAGCCAAACCGGCTAGAGCTGTATTGTATGTTTTTAACCAAGTCTCTACTATTAGACATTAATTTGTTTCTAAGTGTTCATTATGGTAAGTATTGTCCAGATGAACATGCTTATCAATAGGCCTTTAAGCACTTCCTCAAGTATTTCCTTTTGTTCCCTGTATTCTTCCTTCCGCTCCACAGTCTTCCAATTAGTAGTAAAACAACTGCATTTGTAGCTGAAGTAGCAAGTAGTAAAACAACTGCATTTGTAGCTGAAGTAGCAAGCGTCACTTGTGCAAATAACTGTAACAATCGGGTAATTATTTTATTGGCTCAGCCTTCCAAACAAAGCCAGGAGGTAAGGGCAGGAGGATATGCTAAAATCCAGGCCTTCCACGTCCCCACACAGAGCATATCCTGTCCTGCTGAGTGAGCATAGGCTTCTCAGAGAAGCTCCTGCAATCTCCTCCCCACCCCACTCAGGGGCCTCAAAGCTCCTGGGGCTTAGGCAACCAGGACCCATTTTGTCCCCAGACCAGTCCCAAGGTTGCAGTGCACAACTTCCCTGCCCCTCCTCTCTCCCCATCATCCTTTCTTCCTTCTCTCTCTGCCCCCTTTTCCCACTTCTCCTCCTCTTCCAACCTTCTTACAGCCTCCTATTGAATAAAGGAAAAACCTTTAGTGTATTGAAGAAAGGTCTTATCTTTCATGTTATTGATCCCCCCTCCTCCCCACACCCACTCTATGGACCGCAGGTGCAGAGAGGCTAGAGTTAATCACCCTCTCAGTTCACAGAGCCAGGCCCCTTGATGAATGTAGCTGTTTATTCCCTTTTATCCTTCCCAACTCTCCTCCCACTCCCTCCCCCGCAGGCGCCGCTCCAAGGTGTTCAATATACAGGCTTTTGTTCCTATGTGTTTTTGCAAAAGCTTCATTGTATATGTGTATACATGTACTTTTCCTTACCTTTTTATTTTGACATAATTATAGATCCACAGAAAGTTACGAAACAGTATATAGTGTCCCACGAACACTTCAGCCAGCCTCCCCCAATGGTACTGTGATAGAACTGCAGTACAATGGAGAAAAGCAAGCAATTGACAGTGGTATAATACTGTCAAGTAGACTACAGACCTTCTCATTCAGTCTCACCAGTTTTTACATGCCCTTATTAGTGTGTGTGTGTGTGTGTTGTGTACTTCTATACTATTCAATCCCATGAATAGATTTGACAAATAACCACCGCAATTGAGATACAGAACTGGTGGCCTATTGTAGTCACAGCCCCCCGCCCAGCCCCCCAACTCAGGTCTTCCCCATCTCCATAGTTCTGTCACTTGGATAATACGTGGGACCTCTTCAGTTTGGTTTTCTCATTAACCACAGTGCCCTTGAGATACATCCGGATCCTTTCCTTTTTACTGCTAACGAGTAGCTCATGGCGTGGCTACACCAGAGTTAAACTGTTCACCCATTGAAGGATACTTGGGTTGTTTCCAGTGTGGGGCTATTACCAATAAAGCTGATGTGAACATTCATGTGCAGGATTTTGTAGGAATGTAAGTTTCATTTCTTTGGGATATAGGCTCCAAGGATGCCACTGTTGGTGTTACAGTACGTACATGTTTTGTTTTATTTTTATTTAAATTTCTTTTTCTTCATTGATTTTAGAGAAGAAGGGAGAGAGAGAGAGAGCATCGATCGGCCGCCTCCTGCATGCCCCCCACTGGGGATCGGGCCCACACCTGGGCATGTGCCCTGACTGGGAATCGAACCGGTGACCCCTTGGTGTATTGGTTGATGCTCAACCACTGAGCCACACCAGCCGGGCACATGTTTCATTTTATAAGAAATTGCCACACTATTTTCCCGAGTGGCTGTACAGTTTTACATTCCCATCAAGAATGTATAAGAGATGCGCCCTGGCCGGTTTGGCTCAGCGGTTGGAGCGTCGGCCTGCGGTGCAGAGAGACCCGGGTTCGGTTCCCGCTAAGGGCATGTACCTCGGTTGCAGTTTGTCCCCAGCCCTGGTTGGTCGTGCGGGTGACAGCCACTCGATGTGTCCCTTCACATCGATGTTTCTCTCTTTCTCTCTCCTCTCTCTCCCGCCCGCTCTATCTGAACAAAAAATGGAAAAATGTCCTCGGGTGAGGATAAAAAAAAAAAAAAGAATGTATAAGAGATACAGTTTCCCTACATCCTTGCCAGCATTTGGTGTTATCCTTGTTTTCTGTGTTAGTTATGTGTTAGCAGTCTGTCCTAATAGGCGTATAGTGAGATCTCATTGTGGTTTGATTTGCATCTCCTTGACGGCTAATGGTGTCTTTTCATGTGCTTATTTGCCATCTGCATCTTCTCTTTGGTGGTAAAGTCTGTTCATGTCTTCGGCTCATTTTCTAAATGGATTGTTTTGTATTTTTTAATTAATGGCATAAATGGCATTTTGTTATATCTCATTCTATTTCCAGGGTTTTTGTTTTTGTTTGTTTGTTTGTCCTGCAGACCTATCTGTGCTGCTCTGGGAATATCTAATCTATTGCTTCTAGCTGCTGCATGGGATGGATGTCAGGGTGGGCAGTGACCACATTTTATCCCCCCGTAATGGACACTCATGTCTCCCCCCTGCCCCAAATAACTCTATAGTAAATGTCTTCTTGCCTTATGGGCCATGTGAGAATTCATTTTAAAAAATTTTATTTATTGATTGATATTTTTAGAGAGAAAGAGAGACATCAATTTGTTGTTCCACTTATTGATGCATTCATTGGTTGCTTCTTGTATGTGCCCTGACCAGGGATTGAACCTGAAACCTTGGCATATCGGGACAACGCTCTAACCAATTGAGTTACTCAGCCAGGGCAAGAATTTCTTTCTTTTTTTTTTTTTTATCCTCACCCGAGGATATTCTTCCATTTTTTTTTGTACAGATAGAGTGGGAGGGAGAGAGAGGAAGGGAGAGAGAGAGAAACATCGACGTGAAGGGACACATCGAGTGGCTGCCACCCGCACGACCAACCAGGGCCGGGGACAAACTGCAACCGAAGTACGTGCCCTTAGCGGGAACCGAACCCGGGTCTCTCCGGACCGCAGGCCAACGCTCTAACCGCTGAGCCAAACTGGCCAGGGCCAGGGCAAGAATTTCTTTGAGATTATCAATAGGGTAAGGCTTGCTCTGGGG